TTTTAATTAGCAAGCACATGAAAGAATCATTAGGAAGTACAAGATACACTAATTAGTTTGACATACGATGGAATAAATAATAAACTTTAGGTCAAATGTGACAAATCGGGTAAAGACTGTTTAAAACTATACAAACACTTGATCAATTTAATGATTTATCTTTCCATAGTATGGTTTTTAGAACAATCACATCATTAAGCTTTAAAATAACAATCTCATCTGTTAGAAATTCAGATTACCATAAGTATAAAACCTGCTTATATGCAATGTATAATGTAAAACAAAACAAATAAAGGCTTAATCCATTAAATATGTTACAATTCTCTTGCTAAAGTTTTGTCGTTTATTACAGCTTTACGTGATCTTGACCTGCTCTCTTACCATCACTTAAGGGTCCTTCCTTAGGACATACTTTTCTAGCTTTGTTAGCTGACATGTAAATGTAACTGTCAGCTAACAGTATGGTCTTAATAACTAACTAGCAATTTTGTCCATTCAAAATGTGCAATTCATTTGGCTGTATGGCATACATAGTTGTCCTGTAGTTACACCTGGACATCAGCGTTGGAGGGCATGCAGGTTTCCTTGCGAACACCCTTTTGTTAATAACCTAAAGTTATGCGTCCTTGAGAAAAATAAATGAGCTTTTTCAAAAGCATGCCTGAATCACAACACACACCCTGTTCTAAATGTCATATTTGGTACAACATGCTCAGGCTTAGGGCCTTTGCAGGTGTCTTCAATATCACCAGACAGCTAGGTGTGAGGCAGAGTGAAAAGGCTCATCACAAAAGATGACCTTTCCCAAGTCCTCATGGTTCTACTGGTCTTTGGCAAACAAAGCTTTGTGTGCCTTTTGAGATTTCAGTCTGGGATTCTGAGAGGTACCTCACAACATCTGATGTTTGTCTTTATTTATCTGAGGGTCATGTTTTGTCCCTTATTATTTCCTGGAGATTTTTCTATTCAAGTGTAAGGCTGTGCACACCACAGAATATCTCTTGTGAGTTGCCTCAACATATTAATATGCTAAAAAAATATCATTATTGTTTTACAATATTTGATAATAATACCACTGACAAGAAAATAATTACCATTATGACTGTCGCCGTTGTATTATACATTTCAAGATATATTGTTTGAGCAACTTGTCCACATAGTTGACAACTTTCTTAGGCTCAGACCTACAAACTGTTTTGACTGTTATAAGCGATTGCTAGTATAGACCTGAATTGGAATTCACATTGGTATACTGCTTTCTACTCGAGAACTACAATTGGTTACTCTTTAGCAACACAATTTGCCGCCACTTTAGCAGCATTTTGCTGCGTAAGTAGCGGCTGTGGCTCAGTTGGTAGAGTCGTCGTCTCCCAACCGGAAAGTTGAGGGAGACAATACGGAATTATGAATGCATATGAATAGAATTAGTTACTTCTGATGGTCTCACTACATAGCATCCTTTGCCATCAGTGTGTGAATGGGTGTGAATGGGTGTGAATGGGTAGGTGTGACATGCAATGTAAAAGCGCTTTGAGTAGTCAGAAGACTAGAAAAGTGCTCTTCAAGCTCAAGTCCATTTACCCTTACCATTCACTTTTTCTACCCATGATGCAATGTGATGAGTTAACTGGCTTACCTAAGTAGGTGAATGGAGAGTTTAAGGTTTTCTTCCAATTCCAATAAATACATGAACACATGAAACCATTAGAAGCCTTTTTGCATCCTTTTATTGTTTGTGTCTTTAGGCAGTCCCAGCCTCTTATCCTGTATCATCAATTTAATGAAAATTATTTAATAGCACCATTCCATACTTTTCTATCATTTTAAACACTGGTCCATTTAAATTTTTGTGCTTGTACATCTATATTTCTCATATGAATCTATATTTCCATTTAAATTGTTTTTCCCTTAACCTGTGTTGGTTAATTGCCTTAAACTATGAATTTTATTTTCATTCTGTCAACAAATGCAAATCAATTATTGCCCCTGTTTTTTCTACTTCTACTTTGGCTATTGTGATAATACATATACCTCTACTACTGTAACTACTTAGCACAAACAGCAGTTTTTTTTAAAGCTTCAAAGCAAGTGCAAAACATTGCCAGGAGATGGCAACATTGTCCTCGGTTTGGGTATGCTGTTTAGTTCACAAAGCAAAGACTACATCTGTGATTAAGAGTCGGTGTGGATGTCAACAACAATGGGATACAATAAAATATATTTACATGAACCATTACTTGAATTACCATGAATCCTTTTTTTGATATTGTTTTAATGGTCCTGTTGAGGTAACATTGTTGTGAGTTATCTCTTTAACATTATTATTATTTTGATACTTGGGACACTGTAGCCTTACATTGAGATATGTTGATGTCTGTGTGAGTATTATGAAGGCCAAGCTTTATGCTTTAGTATATTAATATCTGTCTGAAACACTTGAGCTCCTCGTAAAGCATTAAACTAATTATTCACAGACTGGCAGTGCTGACCACCCAGCCAGTAAACTGATCTACAGATGATAAAGGTTTACAGGGATTAGGTTAGGTTATTTTTTTAATTCTAAGTAACTTGTTATTTATCTAATTATTAAGTTAGTGAGAATTAATTTAATTAAGCCATCCCTGTTTGTTTTTGCTTAAGGATGCCACAGAATCCATGATCTTACTAAAACAAACACCTTTTAAACTTGATCTTGGATTGGATGTTTTCTATTGATTATGTGTAGTACATCTCTTACACACCTATTACTTTCCTTTTTTGAAGTTATCTTTGTTGACTTCAAACAACAACTTCAAACTAAAGTGTTTGATATTGAGCTCCAGGGCACAGTCCCGTTCTCCAGAAGAGATCATAGGGGGATCGTGATGCAACAGCCCCGAAGGGAAGTTTCCGGTGTACACAAAGAGGAGAGGTTTGGAAGCAGACAGGAGACACTGAACTCCAGAGGGAGTGTGTTAGTTTGTTGTGTCTTTGAGTAGAAAGAGCCTAAGGTTAAAGTCATGATCAGGCCTGATACACCTGCACTTCCCGTATTGTTACCAAATCAGCTCCCAAAAGACAAACCCCCAGGAGAGCTTTTAAGTGTTTCATACACTGACAGGTATCCATAAAAACACACAAACAACACTTTCTTTTTAATTAAAGAGGACCTACATGGAGTTTCAGCTGACAAAACATGTCTTTGGTTGAAAAACAACAATAACACCAAATTAAATATCACATGGCCCGATGCTTTGCTAAGTCATGTGTGTTGAATCATCTATTTTGATCATTTGTCAAAATGTTAACTTAAATGCTGTATCAAAATGTAATTTCCTAATACTGATATGGCAACTCCGGTCAAATAAAAGAGCTAAGTGGAACATGCTGAAAGTTTTAGACAGTAAATTATGGTATAGGTTAAATTAATCATGCACATATTGGAGACAAGGAAGAAAATGTCAGGATGATAATGGGAAATTAATCCAAAAGTGATGAATTTAAACCTTCTGCTTACTTTTGGGGTTTATATTTGTGTAAATCTATCAGATGTCCAGTAACTTTACTGACAGTACTTAGCATATGGTGTTGCAGTTAAAAATATGTCATGGAGCACTAAAACCTTGTTGCATGATGTAAAAAACACAAGTGTGAAGGGCACAGCATATTTGAAGGACAGGAAGTTTAAAGCCTTCCTTACCAGAAATGTTTGTTCAAGACTGTATCTGAACATATCTGACTAGAAGATTATGTCAAATATTCCTAACCATAATTGACCTTAATTTGAAAAGAACAAACAAGAAAAGACAGAGCTATACATTTGTATCTGATAGTATAAGGCCGTATTGTCCCCACATTTTTGAGCACAGATAGCATGACCTTAACCCTTTCTTACATAGCTGCTCATCTGTTCATATGGTAAAACTAAATTTGCTTTGGATGTGCAACACTGCACTGAATGGAAAAAATAAAAACGCTTGTTCCTAAATCAAAAGACATTCACCAGTCCATTCTACTGAATCTTCAGACCAAATCAGAACATTAACTTTTATGTCTGCCTCTGCTCATGAATGGCAAGATTGCTTGCAAGGCAGTCTCTAACAATGTATTGAAACATTTGACCTGCTGACAGCGGCCTACTTGATGTTGTAGCAGCCGATTGATTAGATGATAACTGCCCTAAATGTTGATAAGTTACATATTAAATAAAGTGGACAGGTACTAACCAGCATCACCCCGTCCTTTCTTTATCTCTTAAGTGGATCTTTCGATGAAATGTCAGAGGTCAATCAGAAATCAATAAATTACACATAAGAAAGAAAAGCGACATTTGATTGGACAATTTAAAGTTTAAGAACTGCTGCTTCATATCATATCACTAAGCAAGCTGACCCAAAAGATACTTACAAACAAAAATTACAACTGCAAAATTTTGTTCTTATTTTGACCCTGGCCTGGTGTCTGTTTTACTACTGACGGTCAAAAGCTATATCAGTATAACACGTGAAATACACATTAAAAAATGTTTTTACCAAGTGAAAGACATGTATTTCCAAGTTTATTTAAATTTAAATACAGAGGAATTGTCAACAAATCTATGCATCTCTGTAAAGTATTCAAAGCAAAGGAAGTAATTAAGCACAACGGCACCTCAAGAGATAAATTATAATATGAACTACATAAGACTGTTATTGTTGGTGATGTCATATATGTAATGTTTTGCAGAAAGTTACTGTGTAACTCTGTTTTTAATATTTCATTTTGGTCAGTTTAGTCTTAACAAATGCTCCATATGTGATAAGCTGTTATATATTGTTGTTCGACAAAGTTAATATGTAAAGTAGCATTGTACTACACTTACCACGAAATCATTTCAAACTATTATTTCAACACACAATCGAAACTGCCCTTACATTCTTATCTCTGATTGGTTAATAAAAGGTCAGTCAGTATATAAGTTTAGTTCGTTCCTGACCTGGGTGGCTCTGCCCCATCATTCATAGGGAGGGGAAAATGCCACATGTGATAACAGGGCAGATTTTTATGGGGCTTCTGTTTGCATTTGGAGCTGCAGAGAAGAGGGATGCTCCTTTCTGTCAGATACTGGGGAATCCAGAGTTCCCTCTTCTGTCTAAAGACGGAGATGTAATGATTGGGGGAGCATTTTCAATCCACAGCAAAATCACACAACCTCCCCTTTCCTTTTCAGAGAAACCGACACGTCTAACATGTTCCAGGTAACTATCACAACTGTATTTAAGTATTTTCTGTTCTATTGTGTCACACTGAATACAAAATTGTATGATTTGTTTTTAATCTCAGGGTCAACCTCAGGGAGTTTCGATTCGCTCAGACCATGATCTTTGGGATCGAAGAAATAAACCAAAGTAAATCTATTCTCCCTAATGTGTCTATTGGATATCGTATTTATGACAACTGTGGCTCGACGTTATCATCAATGCGTGCTGTGATGGGCCTGATGAACAATGATGAGTTGACTGTGGGAAAGATTTGCTCTGGTCAATCAGCTGTTCATGCTATTATCGGGGAGTCTGAATCCTCCTCAACCATCGTGCTATCACGCACTACTGGACCGTTCAAGATACCAGTGGTAAGAGGGATATCTGTGTGTAGCAATGTGTATACATTGTAAATGTAAACCCTCCTTATTTGGTCTCTCTGTTGTTGTGTATTCTCAGATAAGCCATTCAGCCACTTGTGAGTGTTTGAGCAACAGGAACGAGTATCCCTCCTTCTTTCGCACCATTGCCAGTGACCTCTACCAAAGCCAAGCCCTAGCCCAGTTGGTCAAGCACTTTGGCTGGACCTGGGTCGGTGCAGTTAACAGTGACAGTGACTATGGCAACAATGGCATGGCCATCTTTCTTGCTGCAGCGCAGGAGGAAGGAGTGTGTGTGGAGTATATAGAGAAATTTCATAGGGAAGAGCCGGAAAAACTCTTGAAAGTGGTAGAAGTGATCCGAAAGAGCACAGCAAAGGTCATCGTTGCTTTCCTTGCCCACGTTGAGATGAACAACCTTCTACAGCAGTTGAGTCTGCACAATGTCACGGGCCGGCAGTTTATTGGTGTGGAGGCTTGGATCACCGCCAACAGTCTTGTGACTCCTACCAGCTTTAGAGTGCTGGGAGGCTCACTGGGTTTCGCTGTGCAAAAGGTCAATGTAAGCGGCCTAGATGATTTCTTAATCAAAGATTTCTGGGATACAGAGTTTAGGTGCAAGGACACAACAACAGAATTATCACCATGCAAAGGAAACCAGGATCTAATTGAGCTCAAAGATTATGTTGATGATGTGGCTGAGCTCAGATACTCCAGTAACATATACAAAGCCATCTATGCTGTGGCACATTCTCTGCACAGCCTCCTAAAGTGCTCAAAAAGTCAGGGATGTGACAAGACTGTCCAAGTAACTCCCCAGCAGGTAAAACAAACTGATCCCTTCCCTGTAAATCTAAAAGATTTGTCATGTATTACTGTGTAATTTCCTCTAACTGTTTATCAGGTTGTGGAGTCTCTAAAGCGAGTCAATTTTACCATAAAGAACGGAGATCAGGTGTGGTTCGACAGCACTGGAGCAGCTGTGGCTCGATATGAAGTGGTGAACTGGCAGAGGGGATCGGACGGCTCAGTCCAGTTTAAACCTGTTGGCTTTTATGATGCCTCCCTCCCTCCTGGACAGAAGTTTGTCCTCAATACTGAAGCCATAACGTGGCCTGGAGGAAACAGAGAGGCAAATATCATCACTGACAGCAAAAACTCCTTTAAAAGACTTCTACAGTTGTCATCTAGCAGTTTGATGATTGTTTTTTTTTTTACCTCTAAAGTTACCTGTATCAGTGTGCAGTGAGAGCTGTCGCCCAGGAGCTCATAAAGTCCTTCAGAAAGGGAAGCCTGTCTGCTGCTATGACTGTATTCTGTGTGCAGAGGGAGAAATCAGCAACAACACAGGTATATGTACTAAAGACATTGGGTATGGCACTTGGATTACAATGTTTATTTTCCAGAATCTGTGCATCATGTTAAAGTTTGTTATTGTGCGCTCTATTATTTATGTGTTTCAGATGTAACTCATTAAACTGAAATAACAGGAATATTTCTATTACAGATTCAAATGACTGCAAAAAGTGTCCTGAAGAGTATTGGTCCAATCAAAACAGAGATGCATGTGTACTGAAAAACGTTGAGTTCCTCCAACACACTGAGGTTATGGGTGTAATACTTATATTTTTTACTTTGTTTGGTGTGTCCCTTACTTTAATCGTTGTGACTCTATTCATAATACACAAGGACACTCCATTGGTGAAAGCAAACAACTCTGAGCTGAGCTTCCTGCTGCTCTTCTCTTTAACTCTGTGCTTCCTGTGTTCTCTGACCTTCGTCGGCCGGCCCTCTGAGTGGTCCTGTATGCTGCGACACACAGCATTCGGAATCACATTTGTCCTCTGTATCTCATGTGTTCTTGGGAAAACTATAGTTGTATTGATGGCATTTAAAGCGACACTTCCAGGCACTAATGTGATGAAATGGTTTGGGCCTGCACAGCGGAGACTCAGTGTTCTGGCTTTTACTCTAATACAGGTTTTAATTTGCATACTTTGGCTGACAATCAATCCTCCCTATCCCTTCAAAAATATGAAAATCTATAAGGACAGGATTATCCTTGAGTGCGCCCTTGGATCACCTGTAGGGTTCTGGGCTGTGTTAGGATACATAGGACTTCTTGCTATCCTGTGTTTTGTTCTGGCGTTTCTGGCTCGAAAGCTGCCTGATAATTTCAATGAAGCTAAATTCATCACCTTCAGCATGCTGATATTCTGCGCAGTCTGGATCACATTTATCCCAGCGTATGTCAGCTCTCCTGGAAAGTTCACTGTGGCTGTGGAGATATTTGCCATTCTGGCTTCTAGTTATGGATTACTTTTTTGCATTTTTCTTCCAAAATGTTTCATAATTTTGTTTCGACCAGAGCAGAACACTAAGAGACACATGATGGGCAAGACGTCTAATAATGATACACATTTTTAACAAATCTGGGTTTTTGTCTCTTTGAGCAAGTGTTTGTTTGCATTTATATTTGCACCAAAATATGTTATTATTGTACTCAAACCTTAGCGTAACACAGAGAAGCATGTAAGAAATGAATGTAAATCTAGAATCTAGAACTGTGCTAGAACACTTTTTTACATGACTTAATTAAATTTATAGAATCATATCTGGTAATAAATACAGAAATGTAAAGTCTCTTTTTTTGTCCAAGTTAATAGCTACATATACAATTTACAATAAAGAGGGATATTTTTAAAACTGATAATTATGATGAGTGTCATTTTTCATTTAGCAATCTATTATTAAAACTAGCCGATTGTCTTTTAGATTGTATTTCATGATACTGTGGGCCTTCACAGTGTGGGTGACACTTCTCGCTCTCCACTGCATATCCACTTACACTTTCCTCACACAAGCTTAATGCCCATATTGTACATAAGCATATGAGTCATAGCAAAACAAACTTAGTATTTATTAAGCAAAATAGATAAATAAATAGAGCATGAGTAACTACTGTCTATCCAATAAAGCTATGAATATATCAGTAGCCCTCTGCATAGCTCCAATAGAGCAGTTTGGAAGTGACATTAATGCTTTGCTCATGGCTAAATCATTGGTCGTGGTTTGAACTGACAAATCACAAGTCACAAACAAGTACACAGTAGGTTATTATTAGTATTTGATATTTTCTTAGCTTTTTTTTTTTTTTTAAATGTCATTCAGAATAGCAAGACAGAATTCAGACTTGTTGTTCATACAAACCAGAAAATATGTAATAAATAAATAAATTGATAAACATATGAAAAATATTTGCTGGACAAAAGTGAGGTTCGACTTCATTATTTCTATAGCAGGATCAGAACAAAAGAAAAAATAAATTTCACAGTTGCATTTGGAAAAATGGGACAGCTCTTGATGATTTTTGCAATCTGCAATATTTGCCCTGCAAAATGTGTATTAGATAAAGTACTGACGATTTATTTTAAATAACAGATATTTGAGACCTTATTAGGAACTACAGTTGCCCAAGGCAAATTTGGAGAAGCCAAATGACAAAAACATCTATAAACAGAACACATTATCTCAACACATCGGTCTGACGTCATCACGAAGCCCTTTTTTTAAAGTGGACCAAAGTCAACATCATCAAGTATAAACTCTTCCCATTAAAGGAGAGACACATTTTAGTTAAAGATAGAAGGGCTTATTAGTAAGCAGGTTCTTGTGCACCTATACCAGATGTGTAACAGTGTCAATATGTTTCTGTTTTTGCTTTTTGTTGGAACCTTCGGAGCAGAGGAAGATATCATACATTGTAAGATGCTTGGAAGCCCTGAGTTTCCTCTGTTATCTAGGAAAGGAGATATCACAATTGGAGGAGCCTTTTCCATCCATAGCCAAATCTCAAAGCCTTCACTCTTTTTCACAGAAACTCCAGAACGACTAACATGCTCCAGGTACAGTTTGTTGTCTCAGATCTTATTTGTTGGTTATTTAAACACACATATTGTCTGAAAACTGCTGGTGGAAACTGTTCTCACTTTTTTCAGGATAAATTTCAGAGAATTTCGTTTTGCTCAAACAATGATTTTCGCCATTGAGGAGATCAACAACAGTAGCTCTCTGCTACCTAATATTACAATTGGTTATAAGGTATTTGACACCTGTGGTTCAACGCTGCCTTCCACACGTGCAGCCATGAGTTTAATGAATGGACAAGACAGGAGTATGGGAAAAAACTGTTCAAGCCAGTCATCGGTTCATGCTGTCATTGGAGCCTCTGAGTCCTCTTCAACGATTGTGATGCTACAAATTTTAGGGATATTCCATGTACCAGTGGTAAATATTTATGTTGTGTTTTATGTTTGAATGATTTGACCCAATATTTCCTTTTTTCTGATGACGGCTGATCTGACTGTCTGGTCATATCAGAGCTTAATGTACATCTTACTATGATGTTGTTTGTTTGTTTCTTATAAGGCTGTTCTAATGTTTGGATGAACAAATCATGGATTCAACAATACATTTTTTGCCTATATTTTATAACTAAAGTGTCAGCCTTTGAACTTTTGAATGAAAGGAACTGATTTTCCCCCCTCCTTTTCTCTTCCATTAGATTAGTCATTTTGCCACCTGTGCTTGCCTCAGTAACAGAAAGGAGTACCCCTCCTTCTTCAGAACCATACCTAGTGACCATTACCAGAGCAGAGCCTTGGCGAAACTTGTTAAGCACTTTGGCTGGACCTGGGTTGGGGCAGTTAGAAGTGACAATGATTATGGAAACAATGGCATGGCAACTTTTATTAAAGCAGCTAGTCAGGAAGGGGTTTGTATTGAGTACTCAGAGGCAATCTCAAGGACAGCTGATCGCAGTGAGCAGGTTGCAAGGGTGGTCAAAGTGATCCAAAGCAGCAGTTCAAAGGTTTTAATTGCATTCCTCGCCCAGGGTGAAATGGATATTCTGCTTGAGGAAGCTCTGAAGCAGAATTTGACTGAGCTTCAATGGGTGGGCAGTGAATCCTGGATAACAGCAGGCCATCTGGCCAATAAGAGGTACTCAGGAATCCTGATGGGTTCTCTGGGCTTCACCATTAGAAAGACGAAGATTAAGGGCCTGCAAGAGTTTCTTTGGAAGGTCAACCCAAGTCAGAACCCACAAAATAATCTGCTCAGACAGTTCTGGGAAGTCACATTTGGCTGCAGTTTCCAATCCAGTCAGCATCAGCAGACCCAGTGCTCTGGTTATGAGAGACTACAGGATATTAATAATCCTTTCACAGATGTGTCAGAGCTAAGGATATCGAACAATGTGTATAAGGCTGTGTATGCTGTAGCTCATGCCATGCACAACATGTTAAAATGTGGAAAGAGTGGAGAAGCGATGAACCAGTCATGTCTCTGGAAAGTTGACTTTGAGTTAAAGCAGGTAAAAGGTTGCCTTCATGTTTTGTGTGAATAATCAGATTTACATTCCCAGTATTTTAATCTATCTCATCACTCTTCTCCATTGGTAGGTTGTGAAATACCTCCAAGATGTAAATTTCACTCTCCAGTCAGAAGAGAAGCAGTATTTTGATGAAAATGGTGACCCTGCAGCAACTTATGAGCTGGTCAATTGGCAGAGAAACCAAGCAGGAGGCACAGTGTTTGTGGCTGTAGGGAGCTATGATGCTTCACTACCCAATGGAAAGCAGTTTACTATAAATGGAAGAAACATAACCTGGGCTAAAGAATCTCATAAGGTGTTGAAAATGTTATGTATTGCATACTCGTTCGGGTACAGTTTATTCAGGCTGACTTGCCAAGTGTGGAATGTATGTGTAAAATCAAGGGTTGAAACTTAACCAAGAGTTGTTAAGAATACCATATTGCTGAAAAAAATATATAAAATAAGAGTGTTAAATGAGCATAAACTATGAACTGAGGAGTTGTGTTGCTGTTACAGAGGCCAAAGTCTGTCTGCAGTGAGAGTTGTTTGCCAGGTTTCCGTCAGGCTGTGATTAAAGGCAAACCCATCTGCTGCTTTTCCTGCATTGCCTGTGCTGCTGGAGAGATCAGCAACTCCAGCAGTGAGTATACGTGTTCCAAACATAATGTATCATAAAGATTTTTCAAAAATAAGCTAAACTAAGAATGAACACAATTAAATGTTTTTCGTTTTCTTTCAGGTTCTGCAGAGTGCTCACTTTGTCCTACGGGGTACTGGTCAAATGAGGATCATAGCCAATGTGTTCCAAAGATAATTGAGTTTCTATCTTACGGAGAAACCATGGGGGTCCTCCTCGCTGCTGTCTCATTTTTTGGAGCAAGTTTAACTCTGGTGGTGTCATGTGTCTTCTTTCACTTCCGTCACACACCTCTTGTCAAAGCTAGTAACTCTGAGCTGAGCTTCCTGCTCCTCTTCTCTTTAACTTTGTGTTTCCTGTGTTCCCTGACCTTCATTGGCCAACCCACTGGGTGGTCCTGCATGCTGCGACATACAGCTTTTGGCATCACTTTTGCCTTGTGCATGTCTTGTCTGTTAGCTAAAACAATAGCAGTGATTAATGCCTTTAAGGCTAAAAGGCCGTCGACCACAGTTCCTCAATGTTCAGCTGCACTTCAACGAACAAGTGTTCTTAGTTGTACTTCGCTGCAGGTCTTAGTTTGTGTGCTATGGTTAACACTTGCTCCACCTTACCCTCACAAAAACACAGCTCATGCCGTTGACAGGATTATTCTTGAGTGTGAGTTAGGTTCGCCTATTGGGTTTTGGGTGGTTTTGGGATATATAGGACTCCTGGCTGGGCTATGCTTTGTCCTTGCTTTTCTGGCTCGAAAGCTGCCTGATAATTTCAATGAAGCTAAATTCATCACTTTCAGCATGCTGATATTCTGTGCAGTCTGGGTCACCTTTATCCCAGCGTATGTCAGCTCTCCTGGGAAGTTTACTGTAGCTGTGGAGATATTTGCTATTCTGGCCTCTAGCTTTGGGTTGCTTTTTTGTATATTTGCACAAAAATGTTATATTCTCCTTTTGAAACCAGGGAGGAATACCAAAAAACAAATGCTGGGGAGACACCATTGAGATAATTCTACATGATTTGTCACAGCAAAATGTCTAAGTTGCTATTTTTATATTAACTCATCAGGGTAAACATATTAACTGGCCCTATACATAGTTTAGCAAAATCTACTGAATGTAATACACTATAAAAGTGCATTGCCATCCTTGAAAATAAGTTCTACATTTATTCAAGCTTTACCTAATTTTCCTGAAAAGGAAAGCTGTAAAATAAATATACACTTTTTATATATGATACAATTTACTTGAAGGCAATCACTTTTACAGTATCAGACAATTATTACTCTGAGACATATATGACAAGTTATTTATCCTTGTGGAAAATAACACATTTGATTTTAGCGTCATTGGGGAATGGAAATGATCTTCTTCTTATGTCTATCCAGTGTCCAGAATTGATGTAATCATTCAGCTCATGGCTAAAATTAAGAACTACAATAAAACCTACAATACACAACAATTGCTCAAATATCCCCAAAGACATGCCCACACATTGGAAAATGTTACTGACAGGAGCTCGTTATCACAATATTCAAAAGTCATACTTATTGGCTTCTTTATGCATCAGTCACAGAATAAGCACTGTGATTGGTTGTGAGAAACACGTTATTTTTCTCGGTTGCACCTAAGCGCCTGGGGCTTTATGATAACTAAAAAGAAAAGCCCTATAAAATGCTCAGAGTTGAGTGATTTGCTCTTTGGGTAGTATTGAGCAATTATGCTGCTAATTGCAGATCTGCTACTTCTTTCCTTCCTGGCAATCAGAGGAGGGAAACCCATGTGTCAAACATATGGGACTAAAGAACTTTCTCAGTTTTCTAAGGAGGGTGACATCAACATTGGTGGCATTTTCTCCTTTCATCAGAACCCAGTCAGGGTCAATCCTGCTCTCCAAGTCAACCCAGGAACAATCCAGTGTGAAGGGTAAGGGTAAGGGTAAAAGTGAAATTGTGTTATTAATGTAATTCTTACTCATGTGTGAATGTAAATCAATGTGGTACTTTTGTGTATGTTTGCCTTTTTTATACACTTATACAATTGTACAATTATTTCCCTCTCCTGGTCACAGACTGGACCCAGGTGAGCTTCAGTATGCATACACTATGATGTTTGCAATAGAGGAGATCAACAACAGCTCAGAGCTGCTGCCGGGAGTGACATTGGGTTACAGGATATTTGATTCATGTCCAAGTATCCCTTTGTCCATCAGGGCATCACTTAACCTGATGAATAGGTATGAGAGCAAGGAAGGCAGCTGTAGCACACTCTCCAACGTGCATGCTGTCATAGGGGAAACCACTTCCACCTCGACGATAGGTATTGCTCGCACCATGGGACCGTTTCATATTCCTGTGGTGAGTGCATCCATGCTTTCTGCACACATGGACTGTCAATTGGATTTTTCTTGTTCAGTGAAAAGTAACATCATGTGTAAAAAGTATATTGTGGCATATGTGATTATTTTGAGTGACTAATGTAATTTAAAAGTATGCTATTTCTCTGTTTCGCTTGTGTTTCAGATCAGTCATTCAGCCACTTGTGCATGTCTTAGCAACAGGAGAGACTACCCCTCTTTCTTCAGAACCATACCCAGTGACATCTACCAGAGCCAAGCCTTAGCAAAACTTGTGAAACACTTTGGCTGGACCTGGGTTGGGGCTATCAGAACTAATAGTGACTATGGGAATGATGGGATGGCCTCTTTTTTGGAAGCAGCAGAGAAGGAGGGAGTGTGTGTTGAGTACTCTTTGGCTATTTACAGAACTGATCCCAGAAAGTGGTTCTTAGAGGTGGTGGACATTATAAAGACATCCACCTCTAAGGTAATAGTTGCATTTGCTGATGGCACAGACCTTGACATACTCATTAAGGAGCTTCATGCTCAGAATGTGACAGGCCTGCAGTGGGTGGGCAGTGAGGGCTGGATCACTTATCGCTACATTGCCTCTGCGGTGAACTATGCAGTGGTGCAAGGGGCAGTGGGCTTTGCAGCCTTAAATGCTCACATCCCTGGACTGCAGAACTTCTTAGCTAACAGCAGGCCATCCACCACACCCAGAGACCAGGGACTGGTGGAGTTGTGGGAGACAGTGTTCGGCTGCACCTTGACTTCCAGCGCAGAGACTGGAGCTCAGAGTTCAGTTGCAGCTTGCAGGGGGAATGAGTCTCTGTGGGATACAAACACACGTTTCACAGATGTTTCAGATGCCAGCCTGCTGAATAATGTTTACAAGGCAACATACGCTGTTGCTCATGCATTGCACATGTTATTTACGTGCAAAGATGGACAGGGGCCTTTTGAAAACAATACTTGTGCTGACAGGGCAAATGTGCAACCATGGAAGGTAAACATGGAAAGATGCCTAAATCAAAAAATATAAACAAAACTCCACATGTAATCTCTCTATATCTATAATATCTATATATAATGTGTATCTAAATAGCATCACTCTTTTTTCTGCAGGTTTTGCATTACCTAACGAAGGTCAATTTTACAACCAAAATTGGGGAAAATGTGTTCTTTGATGAGTTGGGGGACCCAGTGGCACGTTATGCACTGGTGAACTGGCAGATGGATGAGACAGGTTACATACTCTTTGAGACCATTGGTTACTATGATGCCTCCAGGCCTGAAGGTCAACAGTTTGAGATGAAAGCAGGTGTGAGTGCCATCTGGGCAGGCGAGAATCTTGAGGTAGTTAAATCTTTATGAGCTTTTAAAAATAAAGAGTTAGTGTGGACTTCAGAACCCTCCTTTCGTTATCAGAAATACATTACAACAAATCACCTTTTTGATTTCTAAATACATATTTTAATTAGTAAACTGCATTGCATTACCATATTTACATGATTATAAATCCTGAATTTGAATAAATACATTTGAATGTTTGTTTTTTGATTCTGTCAATCTTAAGCAGGTGCCGAGGTCTGTTTGCAGTGAGAGCTGTCTTCCAGGGACCCGTCGGGCTTTTGTCAAGGGCAAGCCTATCTGCTGTTTTGATTGCATCACCTGTGCTGATGGGGAGTTCAGCAACAGTACAAGTGAGACAGCAGGAGTCCTAGCCTTTACTTTAGCACTTATTGTGTTTCTTTTGGGTAAAATCACTGCCAGCACTTTATTGGTATATCTGAAGATGTGTGTGCTGTACAGCCTAAACATGTTTATGCTTTCAGATGCAGTGAAATGTGACAAATGCCCTCCCGAGTACAAGTCCAATGAAGAGAGGAATCACTGTGACTTGAAAGCTATTGAGTTCCTCACCTTCAGGGAACTGATGGGTATACTATTAGTCACTTTTTCTGTCTTTGGGGCCTGCCTGGCAATGACAATGGCCCTGATATTTTTCCACTATAGGCAGACTCCAATTGTCAGGGCCAACAACTCTGAGCTGAGCTTCCTGCTGCTCTTCTCCTTGACTCTGTGCTTCCTGTGTTCTCTGACCTTCATCGGCCGGCCCTCTGAGTGGTCCTGCATGCTGCGGCACACAGCATTCGGCATCACATTTGTCCTCTGTATCTCATGTGTTCTAGGGAAAACTATAGTTGTATTGATGGCCTTCAAGGCAACACTTCCAGGCACTAATATGATGAAATGGTTTGGGCCTGCACAGCAGAGACTCAGTGTTCTGGCTTTTACTCTAATACAGGTTTTAATTTGCATACTTTGGCTGACAATCAATCCTCCCTTTCCCTTCAAAAATATGAAACACTATAAGGACAAGATTATCCTTGAGTGCGCCCTTGGATCACCTGTAGGGTTCTGGGCTGTGTTAGGATACATAGGACTTCTTGCTATCCTGTGTTTTGTTCTGGCGTTTCTGGCTCGAAAGCTGCCTGATAATTTCAATGAAGCTAAATTCATCACCTTCAGCATGCTGATATTCTGTGCAGTCTGGATCACTTTTATCCCAGCGTATGCCAGCTCTCCTGGAAAGTTCACTGTGGCTGTGGAGATATTTGCCATTCTTGCTTCTAGTTATGGAATGCTGTTTTGTATTTTTTTGCCCAAGTGCTACATCATCTTGTTAAAGCCTGAGAACAATACCAGGAAACATTTGATGAGTAAAGTGAGGCCAAAATTCCTTTGAGATCTTTGTCAAATCATTTATTAATCACTTATAAATCAATTATTTACCAGTTTTTATGCCTGTATTTATTTAATGCATAAACATTTCACATGTAAATATATATTTCTGAACATGTGTAAATTGTGTGGTCACATAAATCACGGTTTATTTTAAGGGCTGAGTCTTAATGGTGTAGTGAAAAATAAAAAGCATTGCACATAAATCATCTGTGGTGTGTTGATGATTTAAAATTGATTCAATGCTCTGTATATACAATGTATAGGAACTAAATAAAATACTTAAAATGTGCTATAAAATGTGTGTATTTAAAAATCAGTAACTTTTGTTGTTAGAACAAAAGTACAAAACTGTACAAGACTCAAAACACTATATAACCATGAACCATGCTGCACTTAAATCCAATAACACTTTGACTGATGCTTTTGCTTTTACCATTATTTAGGCTTATGCTTTTTTTTTTTTTTTTAAAGATTTATTTTTGGGTCCCTTGTGCCTTTAATGGAGAGATAAGACAGCGGATATAGTCGGAAATCAGGAAGAGAGAGAGTAGGGAACGTGCGGGAAAGGAGCCACAGGTGGGATTCGAGCCTGGGCCGCCCACCTGGAGGACCACAGCCTCCATACATGGGGCCCGTGCACCAACCACTGCGCCACCAGCGCCCCAGGCTTATGCTTTTAATGCAGCAATTATAGCTATTTCAGTACTGTGTTGAGCTGAATAGGCTGACTTATTTTATTTTATTTATTTTTATTTTACAGGGATATTGCATATTAATAAACATTTCAGTAAATATGCCAAAGTTAGCCAAAAGGCTAATTTTCATCTGTTGTCCCTGGCCAGATTTTATAAAAGGCTCCCTAAAAAAACAAAACAAATTCAAACATTGCTAAAAGCTACAAAAACAAGTAGACTTAAGTCATCAAAAAACTGTTTGACATTGAATGGAACAATATATTGATTAAAAATACATGTTTTCCTTTGAGTGTGTGAAGAAATTATTAATTGAATATGAGTCTGGTAGTTGTTTATTAAGGAGGCAGCTATATTATTATTTTGTGCAAGGGGCTTTATAGCAGCTGTGTTCAGAGAATTAGGTTGTTTGCCACAAAGAAGCCAAACATGAAGAAGGGTTTTCATATTTGGTGGGGGCCAAAACAGGGGTAACCAGGGATAGCCTATTATTGCACCAACAAGGGGACACAAGCATGACCCCTAATGAGTATGAAATAATTTAACAAGGTATGAGCCTACAATGTCTAATATTTTAAACTTTCTACCACACTTATCCTCTGCAGTTTTTCAGTGTTTTCACTATTTACATATATTATTAATTCACGCATGTGTGACTTGTTCCTCTGGCTTTAACATTACACATTTGGTGCAGCCCTATAGTTGTAGCTGCTGGCATACACAGCTATGATATTTGTAATAAACCAAGGCCCCAAACTCATTTACTTTTTGGCATGCTCCATTTTTCATCCATAGGTCCTCAGAGATTACACATCGCTATTGTGATAACACTTTTCACACTGCTACAAAATGTATAAATACCAGTGCACACTCTAAATTTAGAGGACTTAGACAGTATGACATTGACTAAGAGGTGGTTGGAGAAGGGTTGGGCACTGTTACTGTTGTCGTGGGTTGTATATATCTCTCAGGCTGAGGAGTCAGTGTGCAGTCGGAGGGGTGATCTGGAATTCCCCCAGCTGTCCATGGATGGGGACATTATGTTGGGGGGAATCTTCTCTTTCCACAGTCGCTGGAAAGAAGGACAGCATACCTACTGGCACAAACCATTGCCACTTCAGTGCATAAGGTAAATTATTCTATATAGATTTAATATAATTAGGAGAATGAGGGTAGAGATTTAAAACAGTAACAAAATGGATGTTATCAAACTAGGCATTTAAATAAGAAATACAAGTTGAGTGAATAAGAGTCTTCAAATGCTTTCTTTTAATATGCTATTGTTTCTTTTTCAAGATCGTCACTATTTGTAACTGTTTGGATTAAGCTTGAATTTCAGGGGCTTCCAGTATACACAGGCTATGCGTTTTGCCATAGAGGAGATTAACAACAGCACAGACCTACTCCCTGGACTCACTCTGGGCTATAAGATCTATGATTCATGTGGGTCCATTGCTCGAGCTGTGAAAGTAGCTCTGGCCTTGGTCAATGGTAATAAATTGGTATCTGCAGCTGCTGAGGAACCATGCACAAGGCCTGCTCAAGTGCAGGCCATCATGGGAGAGACCTTCTCTTCTCCTTGCATGGCTATAGCTACTGTCATTGGACCCTTTCATATCCCACTGGTGAGTGAGATAGGTACAATTCCAATTATATTTATAAAAAATGAATTGTTAGTCTATAAGTCTTGTCGCTGGTCATAGTCAAAGTGGTTCAAGAATAATTGTAAAAGTTTGATATGGTTTGATCTTTTTATTGGGCTTCTTTCCCCCCATATAGATCAGCCATGCAGCTACTTGTGCTTGTCTAAGTGATAAAACCAAGTACCCGTCATTCCTCAGAACAATACCAAGCGACTACTACCAGAGCAGGGCCTTGGCCCAGTTGGTAAAGCACTTTGGTTGGACTTGGGTTGGTGCTATAAGAACAAATGATGATTATGGCAATAATGGCATGGCCACTTTTACAGCAACAGCCCGGCAGCTGGGCATTTGTCTGGAGTACTCAGTGTCAATCTTTAGAACCGATCCCCCGGACAAAATACAAAAGATAATTGACATTATCAAAGCTGCCACTTCCAAAGTGATTGTTGCTTTCCTCTCTGCCACAGATATGCTTATGCTAACACACAAGTTGTCTGAACACAACTTGACTGGGTACCAATGGGTAGGCAGTGAGGGCTGGATCTTTGACTCCCAAATTGCAGCCACAGGCGGGCATCACATTCTGGATGGTGCTGTAGGCTTGTCAATCCCTAAAGCACATGTGAGTGGTATGAGAGAGTTCATGTTGGATGTGAAGCCGCTTAATTCATCAAGTAATCAAATGTTTAGAGTATTTTGGGAGACATTATTTAACTGTAAGTTCAAGAAAACAGCAGAAACGCAGGGAGAATGTACTGGGCAGGAAAGTCTAACTGGAGTGCAAAACAGCTTCACTGATATGTCTCTAATGCCTATCTTCAACAATGTTTATAAAGGAGTGTATTCTGTGGCCCATGCACTTCATAAGATTCTCAACTGCAATAACACATGCAACAACAAAGCACAGCTAGATCCATTTATGGTAAGTTAAACACCAACAGTTTAAATTAAAGCCTTTCCTTACATTAAGAAAAAAGGTTCAAGTTATCATAGTAAGTGCATGTAGCTGTGGAGACCGCAGATATTCATTTTACATGGTTGCACATCTTCTCAGATTTTACAGCACGTACAAGCAATTCAGTTCAAAACAAAGGAAGGAGATGAGGTTTACTTTAATGAAAATGGAGACCCACCAGCAAAGTATGAAGTTATTAACTGGCAGCCAAAAGAAAATGGCTTTGTGGACTTTGTCACCGTTGGTCTATATGATGCATCTTTACCTGCAGAGAAACAGCTCATTCTGCAAAACACGTCCTTAATTTGGGCACAAAAATCACAAAAGGTAACCTCCCATCACAATGAATGTATATGTTTTTTAAATTATTTTTATCCTATTCGAAACTGTTTCAAAATGTTTGCTTTTCATGCGTTAAAGTAAAAAAATTGTGCCTACTTAAAGAGCTACAAATACCCATGCACATTGTGCACTTCGTACATGCAGGTGCCTCGATCAGTTTGCAGTGAAAAATGCTCCCCAGGAACTCGCAAGGTTCTCCAGAAAGGGAAGCCAGTCTGCTGTTATGACTGTTTAAGGTGTGCAGAGGGAGAAATAAGCAACACTGCAGGTATAGTAAATATGCAATAATGCTATATTCAAGCACTTAGTTATGGAAATGGCATAGTTTTGTAATCAGATTCTAAAAGCATGTACCAGCTACTTACAGGCATCATAGTTAATCAATACTGTCAACATGAAATGCCTGAACAAAAACAAATACTTAAATCTATGAACAATGTTAGAAATGCACATCAAGGTCAGGAGGTTATGAGTGAAAAAGGATTGAATCAATTGTTAATTAAAAGACCAAGTTCAGTGTCCGCATACAAATAAATACCAAGCATCAAATAGTTTAGTGTCCATCTCTAACTTCTGCTTCAATTTTACTTTTCAGATTCAATTACCTGTGAACAATGCGAGTCTGACTACTGGTCAAATGAGAGAAGAGATGCTTGTGTAAAGAAGGAGGCAGAGTTTCTATCATTTAAAGAGATTTTGGGAGCACTCCTCACTTCAGCCTCGCTTTCAGGAACACTCATGACTGCTGTTGTGGCTTTCATTTTCTTCAGGCACCGACACACCCCCATAGTGAGGGCCAACAACTCAGAGCTGAGCTTCCTGCTGCTCTTCTCCTTGACTCTGTGCTTCCTGTGTTCTCTGACCTTCATCGGGCGGCCCTCTGAGTGGTCCTGCATGCTGCGACACACAGCATTCGGAATCACATTTGTCCTCTGTATCTCATGTGTTCTTGGGAAAACTATAGTTGTGTTGATGGCCTTCAGGGCGACACTTCCAGGCAGTAATATGATGAAATGGTTTGGGCCTGCACAGCAGAGACTCAGTGTTCTCGGCTTTACTCTCATACAAATACTCATATGCATCCTCTGGTTGACAATTTCTCCCCCTTTCCCCTTTAAGAATATAAGGGAGTTCAAGAACAAAATCATATTAGAGTGTGCTTTTGGCTCAGCTGTGGGCTTTTGGGCTGTGCTTGGGTATATAGGACTTCTGGCCATGTTATGTTTTGTCCTTGCTTTTCTGGCGCGAAAGCTGCCTGATAATTTCAATGAAGCTAAATTCATCACATTCAGCATGCTGATATTCTGCGCAGTCTGGATCACTTTTATCCCAGCATATGTCAGCTCTCCTGGAAAGTTCAGTGTTGCTGTGGAGATTTTTGCTATTCTGGCCTCCAGCTTTGGATTGCTGATTTGTATTTTCATTCCAAAATGTTATGTTATCTTACTTAAACCAGAGAGGAATACAAAGAGGAATCTAATGGGGAAGGGGGCACCAAAGTCATTTTGAAAACGTCAAATAAAATGGTAGCATAGACCTTCTAGTAGCAATTATTCTTACATTTACTACTCTGTGTATTAGACACTTATTCTAATCGCGCTGAAGACCTGTTGCAATAACAAAAATTGTCACGGTCTATTATTGAATTTGTATCAAAGCATGCTCAGATAAAACTCGATGTAATGTAAGATACAATCATGTGAATATACTGCACAAAGAAAATGCATTAACACAATATCTAATCCCTTGCTGATTTTGTAAAACTGTAATCCAAAATAAAATTCAGTGTCATGGACAAAAACATATTTGGCTCAAGTTGTTTGGTTTCCTGTGGTCTCCTGAGGCTTGAGTTCAACCATGACAACTTCCCCACTTGTTATTGAAAGTGTATAAAGCCCTGCAGTGAGCTGTCGGACTGATTGGCCTGGCCTTGAGTGCAGAGCAGAGCTATGCCATTGTTGAGGCTCATCCTCTTGGTTCTGCTAATGGGAGAGGGAGACTCTGTGTGTCGACTGCAAGGCTCAGCACAGCCACCTGAACTTGCCCAAGATGGTGACCTTGTTATCGGAGGCATTTTTTCATTTCGCACCGGGCAGGACTACGTAGTTAACACATTTGAGACAATTCCAGGTGTACGGAAATGCAAAAAGTATGTGTTGTTAAACCTAGATTTTTATAGTTATGTGTATTTTGTAATGTATTTGAGGCACTAACATTTAGATGTATTACTCCTTTCTATTTTTCCCACTCCAGCTTTAACTTTAGAGAATTCAAATTTGCTCAAACTGTGATATTTGCTATAAATGAGATCAACAAAGATCCTGACATGCTCCCCAATGTGAAACTGGGCTACAAGATCTATGGTGACTGTGGAACGATGGACATACTGAGAGCTGCGCTAGCACTGGTGAGTGATGTGACGAGAGAAGTCTCTGACAACAACTGCACTAAAACTGACACAGTGCAGGCTATATTGGGACATTCAGGATCACGTCCAACTATTGCATTTGCACCAGTTGTTGGAAAGTTTCATATACCTGTGGTAAGTATAAAAAGGGTCATTAGAGATAGTGTTAAGTCTAATTGTATCATATAAGTGAGCTGTTTTTAATGTCTACAATTAAGATCAATGTTCTGAGAAACAATAAGTGTATATTTTTTTCTCGTTTGTGTCTGCAGGTCAGTCATTTTGCAACCTGTGCCTGTCTGAGCAACAGAAAAGAATATCCAACTTTTTACAGAACTATTCCCAGTGATTTCTACCAGAGCAGAGCCCTTGCAAAGCTGGTCAAACACTTTGGTTGGACCTGGATTGGGGCTATAGCTGTGAATAATGAATATGGCTTGAATGGCATATCTGCATTTATCCAGGCTGCACATGAACTAGGAGTGTGCATTGAATATTCTGAAGCATTTTCATCATCAGATCCACCTGAGAGACTGCAGAAGCTAATAGAGATAATTAAACATGCAACATCCAAAGTGATATTGGCGTTTATGTCGCACAGAGAGATTAAGTTGCTTGCAAAAGAGTTGCACAAACAGAATATAACAGGACTGCAGTGGGCTGGCAGTGACGCCTGGGTCACAGATCACTCTCTGACTGACAGTGAGGGACACAGCATCCTGGTGGGCTCACTAGGATTCACTGTCAGTAAAGCTAAGATCCCCGGGCTGGAGGAGCACCTGAGGCAGCTCCACCCTTCACAGTTTCCCGACAGTCAGTTTGTCAGGGATTTCTGGGAAGATGTGTTTGACTGTGCCCTGAATGCAACTGAAAACACAAAGAAAAAGCCATGCACCGGCTTGGAGAGCTTGCAAAATATTGACTCGCAGTTCACTGATGTGTCTGAGCTGCGATTCTCTAATAACGTGTACAAGTCTGTTTATGCAGTGGCTCATGCTCTTGATAACCTGATCAAATGTGAAGAGGGCAAAGGGCCGTTCTTAAACAGCAGCTGTGCAGACATTAAAAACATTCAACCGTGGCAGGTGAGGGTCCACCATTTAAGTGTGATGGAGTGATGAATCAAAGATCACTGATCTTTAATACTTCCTCATTTCTGTCCTCAGGTCTTGCAGTATCTGGACTCTGTGAATTTTACCACTCAGGAAGGGGAAAGAGTTTATTTTGACAGGAATGGAGACTCACCGGCCAGATATGAACTTGTTAATTTACAAATGACCAACAAAGGGACCATGGAAGGGGTCACAGTTGGTATTTATGATGCATCTCTTCCAGAGAGCCATCAGTTTATCACAAATAACATCCCAGTTGTGTGGGGAAATGGTCTGACCCAGGTATATGGACCACTTAAATGATCATTCATTCACTTAAGAGTGCTCTAAAAATTTTCATATGCATAATATTTCTTTCACTATCATGATTGATGCCCACGTTAACTCAACATGCCATGCAGATGAAATACAACTTGAGTTAGTGAAGTGTGTTTGTGTGTGTAGGAGGTGCCTGTGTCAGTGTGCAGTGAGAGCTGTCTCCCAGGAACACACAAGGTCCTCCAGAAAGGCAGGCCAGTGTGTTGTTATGACTGCATACCGTGTCCCTCAGGCGAGATCAGTAATGTAACAGGTAAATAAATATATGAAATATCTTAATTCACCATATTAAATGCAATACAATGAGTGATTTGTGTCGACAAAAGTGGAAAACCTAACACAAAAACAGAAATGCAACTTCCAAATCAATTTACCTGTACCTCTCTGTACTCTGTTCTTTTTCAGATTCAATTATTTGTATGAAATGTCCTCCAGTGTACTGGTCCAACAAACAGAGAGACGCCTGCATCCCAAAAACAATCGAATTCTTGGCATATAATGAAATCCTAGGATTATTGTTGGTCTTATTTTCCCTGCTAGGAGTTTTCTTAACTATCATAACAACACTAGTCTTCTACTGCCACAAAGAAACACCACTAGTCCGGGCCAACAACTCAGAGCTGAGTTTCCTGCTGCTCTTCTCTTTGACTCTGTGCTTCCTGTGTTCTCTGACCTTCATCGGCCGGCCCTCTGAGTGGTCCTGCATGCTGCGGCACACAGCATTCGGCATCACATTTGTCCTCTGTATCTCATGTGTTCTTGGGAAAACTATAGTTGTATTGATGGCCTTCAAGGCAACACTTCCAGGCACTAATATGATGAAATGGTTTGGGCCTGCACAGCAGAGACTCAGTGTTCTGGCTTTTACTCTAATACAGGTTTTAATTTGCATACTTTGGCTGACAATCAATCCTCCCTTTCCCTTCAAAAATATGAAAATCTATAAGGACAGGATTATCCTTGAGTGCGCCCTTGGATCACCTGTAGGGTTCTGGGCTGTGTTAGGATACATAGGACTTCTTGCTATCCTGTGTTTTGTTCTGGCGTTTCTGGCTCGAAAGCTGCCTGATAATTTCAATGAAGCTAAATTCATCACCTTCAGCATGCTGATATTCTGTGCAGTCTGGATCACATTTATCCCAGCGTATGCCAGCTCTCCTGGAAAGTTCACTGTGGCTGTGGAGATATTTGCCATTCTGGCTTCAAGTTATGGATTACTTTTTTGCATTTTTCTTCCAAAATGTTTCATCATTTTGTTTCGACCAGAGCAGAACACAAAGAGACACATAATGGGGAAGACCTCTCATAATGATGTACATTTTTAACAAATGTCTTAAAAAAGAACTGTCATGTGTTTTGACTTTTTTAACCAATGTTTTCTAGCAACCAAAATGTTACATTAGGTCTTTTTTGTATCCTATTATTCCTTAATGTTTAATTATAAAAAATGTTCTGCAAATAAATCTTGAACTTTATTGAAGGCTGTTGTGTGTTATTTATATGCATTTATGAATCCCTTCCAACACTAAAAATATTTGAAAGAAGAAAGCATTGTCTATTAAAAAACATCATGATCACTAATAAATAAGAACTTGGGGGACATGTTTTCCTGCCTCAAAGAACGACACAACTTTGGTTTAATTAGTGGGACCTAAAGCAACTGTTAAGTAGTAGGAAGTCATCGAATAGGAGAGCTGGTTTCATAAAAGGGATTTATTTAGTTCTGTAGCCCGACTCAATAAACACAAATATTTGATAATTCACATTTGGTAAATGGATCTGGTTAGTGTTTTTTTAGTATTCTGACAACTCAAAGTGCTTTTAGCACTACATGGCACATTCACCCATTCACACCACATTCACACACTGATGGCAGACAATTCGATGTTCAGTGTCTGGCCCGAGGACACTTTGACAGATGACCGGAGGAGCTTGGGATCAATCCCTCGATCTGAGAGATCTCTGACTCTTCCACTGAGCTGCCCAAAAACATAAACTGCTTTTACACAGTTTTGTTTGTCAAATCATTTTTTTTTTTATGTGTGGGGGTATTCATCATGTTCAACAGTATGTGTATGATTAATGTTGTTAGAATTACAGCAATGGAAGAACATTTCATTCATGGTACAAATGTATCTGCAATATATCAATTTCATATATGTAGTATAAAAACTTTAAACTAATTTTAAAAACACACTTCCAGTGATAAAAAAAATAAAACTGTTGACTAAAATATATTGACTTTTGTGGAAAGGCCTCAAACAATGGATATTAGGGATTGATTTGAAACTGCTTTTGAATATTATTGTATATATAGTTTTGACGTAACTTTTTTTTGTAACTTCATGGCATCAAAATAAAAGGTTCACACTTTTGCAGGTCTATGTACATAAGTACAGTTATCACAATCATCTCTCCTGCATTAGGTGGTCAGTATAGGTGCAGAGGCTCAGCAGCAGCTGAAACAACGTACATTTAGATAAACTTGCAGCACGTCCAGAAACGTTGTACTCCCGAAACTAATGCAAACATCCAAAACAACTGCAAGCGCTGCAAAAGTAACAAATGCGCTGCATTAACTTTGAAAAAGCTGCAAAAAAGTCAAAAACACACACACTTTCAGAAATAGTTCAGCCTTTTCAACAGATCTACATACAGGCCTGTAGGGGCGCTCTGTGGGACAGTTTGTAAGACCAGGCAGTCTGTGGAGATGGACACTGTCAGATATGGAAGGGAGACGGGGAAGCACATTTTTTATCAAACTACATGCTGATAATGGCCTTTCTGTAGGGCTATGCACTACTGTTTATTGTGCCAGAACAAGACTTTATAACAAAACACCCACACAGCATTGAGAAATGATGTCCGGTTGACAGATAGTTCCTACGTTAGCTGCCCGGTTACCGGTACTGTTGCCAGGCATGAGTGGCCGCCTGGAGACTAAACTTGTCAGAACCCAGGGCAGGGGGAGTTTGGTTATCTGTAGCCAAGAGATTTACAGATTTACAGACAAAGGACGAAGCCGAGCTCATTAGCCCCAGAGCTAGCAACTAGACAGCCCAGGGCCGCAGCCATGGAACCCCTGCTCGGCTGTCTCGTCCCCGTTGTTAAAATCTAGGCCAGACTCATTTTAAATCTCCTTGTTTCTGTAATATTGACGTCATTCTACGTGGGTCCACGATGCAACTTTCCCACATAACAACACTTCCGGTGCCTGGTCATACGCTCTCCAATAAATAAACTGTCCACCTACAGGACTGGAGTATGTACTCATGTTAAAAAGGCTTCTTTGACTTTATTAAAGCTTCGTCCTTGTTGATCTGAAGTGCATCTGTAATAATATTACGCATATTCTATTAGAATATGTGTTTTTGTATGCTTCTTATAGAAAGCTGATATAGTCATGATGACCATATTTGATATGAAACAACACTGACAAAAGTGAGTAAAACCGTCACAATTCTGGTTATATTTGTATTATTTAAAAAATCTATATCAAAATAAGGCTGTTTTTAACTTTTTATTACATTCTTAAAGCAATGTCTTAAACAAATCATACATGTAAAAATGCAGCAGTGGTGAATATAGGGTATATGAGACTTTTATTTTCTCTGATACATAGTTTAAAAAATGCAAAAGAAGATGAGTGACCTCAGTCCTGAGAGGAATCTTTGGTCATTCCACTTTGTAGACAATATTGGGCTAAGATCAGTCAGATTTAAACAAGGTAGCCCGGCCAGGATTTATCACGATAATACAATTTAGTTTTACTTTGTCTAAATGCTTTCAATACCATTTAGTTATAGAGAATGTGATGCAAACCAAAAGCAGGTCAGGAGAAACTATTATGGAGATTTTTTTTTAAAACTAAGTAAATGAAAAACTTTATGCTCGCACTCTGATTCTGGTTCAATTAGGCCTGCCACCTGGCCCAAGAAAACCCTTGACATTTAAAGAAACAAACATATTTTCATTGACACTGATGCTCTCAAGTTCAAAAAACACTCTGATGCAACACAGAAAACAAGGTTGCACTTGTGCATAGACAAAAACAACACAGAAGAAAAACAGTGGAAGATAAATAAGTCCCCATCTGTTAAGAGCTCCACTTCATTACTCAGTGGCTGGACTCCTGTGGGAGAGCTGTAGCAGGGCCCCGCGACGCAAACACTAGAGACCAACAATAAAGATTGCTTCATCCTCTTACACAACAACAGGTGGCATATTGCTTCAAGAAGAAATAATGGGCCCATATCAATTAAGGATTTTGTCACAACATCCAATAGTTACATTTCAAATCAATTAGCGGTTTGTTTTGATCGCTTCCTTCCTCTCGTTTGTTGCTCTGCACTGCCATGTTATTTCCCACTTGTCAGAAGTCTGAATTAATTGTTTCTCAAACAGTTTGGCACAGAATAATAAAATGTAACACTGTTGAAAAGAGATTAATAACTCTTTGGTTAAAAAAAACATGTGAGGAATATAAAGGCCCTAAAACGTACTGTCCAATGTTTCTGACTTTTTTCTGACTGCACACATTAAGCTATTTTGCAAAGTAACTGGGTAGAGAAAGTCAAATCAAATCTTCAGAAAAACATTAAAGCATATAAAGACAAGATAGAAACCTCCTCGTTAAACAATTCAAATGCCTTTACGTTTACAGCATGGCCATAACACACTTTAAATCATTATGGCATGAAGCCTTAACCAAGAGCCATTCTGCAAAAAAAATAGATTTCTTTATTGTCTAAAGAGAGAAACTTGTTTTCTTTTTCTTGTCTTTACTACGACTGCATGTATCCCATTCCAAGGAAGCATCTCAAACACACACTATTTTGATTCAAGGAATACCTCCTTTCTACAGTTTTTTATTGATTGATTTTAGTTTTTACATTCAAGCATTATACTGTGAATTCAATGCAGCATGATGTCTGAGCAGGCATGATTTCATGATGCTCTAATGGGTGTGAAGGTTTTTATGTTATTTGAGCCTCTAACCAAAGGTCATTGTCCCTATGTGAGACAATACAGTTTGTTGAGTCTTAAATCTTGAAGGCCTGCATGTTTGCACATGAAGAACACTCAACTGTAAACATACTGTTCTTATCTCTTCTTTTTATCCCTTCCTTTTATTAATTGTATTGCTTTTAACCTTTTTATCTTTTTCTTCTTTATATGTTTTAGCCTTTAAATGTATCCCTTCCTGTATTAATTTTACTGCTCTTAGTCTTTTTAAACTCCTACTCCTTCTATCATTTAACTCTTCAGCTCTCTGTTTCTTTATTCAATTAACCAATGTCTCGTTTATCCCTTCTTTTTATCTTCATTCTGTGTTTACAGCCTGTGATGTGATGTCGTCCCACTCTCCCTCAATTTTAATTTTGTTCTCTCCTGGTTGATTTTAAACTAATTTTCCTTCATTGTATTGAACTGCCTCTCCATACCTGCCTGTTGTATTTATCTTATTCCTGTTATTTGCATTTATACATTTTTGCCCTCTCTGTTGATCTCTGTTCTGTTGTCATGTTGCTGTATTTGCTTTGTCTGTCACAGCACTTTGTAAACATTTGTTTTTAAAGGTGCTATATAAATAAAGCTGTTATTATTATTATTATTATTATTATTATCTGGTTTAATTTAAGGCTGGATTTTTCAACCAAAATAATTCTAAACAATTAGTCAAAGGCAATTTCTTTTCTGACCACTGAGAAATACTCTTTACTGTTTCAGAAGCAGCACAATCTTTAAGGTGCACTATATTATAAAAAAATTAAACTGATGATTCCAAAAAGATTTCACCTTTTTGATTGTTGTGAGAGATTGACGTGTCACTTCTGCTCATAAGATGAAGATAATGTCTCATGTTAACAGACATATTGTAGCTGAGATTCACTGAAAGATTGGAATAAGACCCAACAGGTAGACAGAGCCTGCTTGGAATCTTTTTTTTTTTTTTTTTTTCAGATTAATAGCTTGAATACACTGTTCTGCGTTTGTGGACCCTTTTATTTGGGGTAAATATCTCTTCCATCATGTTTGGCATTTATTTCTCTAAAGACACAATCTCATTTTTTTTTTACACCAAAGCAGCAGGCTAATGGACATGCAGGATGGACTAGCATAAAATCCCATAGGGCCAGGTCTTAAAAACCAAGGGCCGGAGGAAAAGAGGTCAGCCTAAAGAGCTGTTCCTCCTGGTTCTTCTGACCGGAAGGGGGGGGGCACTCACTGTGTGATGGCTCAAGAGAGAGCACAATCACCGGCCAGCTCCCCTGAGACTTCTTTGGTGGTGCTATTAACACCTTGTACTGCAAGTAGAGGAAACATTCCACACTTTAAAGACCGGGAGTAAGGATGCAGTGACCTCTTATGTGCTTGTTAGATATTCTAAATATGCACCAAATATAAATTCAACAAATCAAGCTTTCCACATGGCTAGAAGATAATTCATTTGGATTAAAAAATAATATAAAGTCTGAAATTAGATTTGGACAACAGGCACAATGGGCAGATAGATGAGAGGATCTGGAAAGACTATGTTGATAACAGAATCACCTCATTTACACCAGCTTCACAAGGAAGATAAAGTTTACATTAAGTATTTCCTGTGCCCATACAGGTCATATTTCATGTCCATCAAAGAGCTAAAGTGCCTGTGACTAAGCAAAAGGTAACAGAGCCATGAAAAAGGTTATCACAGGAAGTGGGATAGAAGAGACTATGAGGGTTACGGCATTCTGTTGGCTTTTGTTGAAAAATGTCACATACTGGAAGCACCTGAAGCAGCAAAGGTTTCTTTTTAAGTTTTTGAGACATTTTTAAGGAAGCAGAGTTGGATTCTGGCACAAATTCACCAACTAACAAGGTGCTTGAAGAGTCAAAGGCTTGAAGAGGTCAAAAAGCTCAAGTATAAAGATCAAGTCTATTGGGATGTATGTATGGAGGCTGTCGTCTCAAGCGGGCGGCCCGGGTTCACATCCCACCTGTGGCTTCCTTCCCACATGTCGTTCCCCTCTCTCCCTGATTTCTGACTCTATCTTATCTCTCCATTAGAAGCCCAAAAATAAATCTTAAAAAAATCAAGTTTATTGACAAATTAGACCAACACGTTTCAGTTTGTGGCCTTCATCAGGGTCATCCAAGATTTTTAAGTAAGAAATGTTTTACTGCACAAAAAATGCCACAACAAGTCATGCGACATAATGGGGTTGTGTTTACATCATCAGATCTATAAATAGAACGGTACGACATAGCAACTTACTGTGAAATTCACTTGCTTCATCAGTTCCTGCTTCTCCAGTTCGGCTGCTGCCTGGTTATAATCTAGTTTCCAATGTCTGCGTTATCCAGGGGCTTTCTATCCCATTGAGAAGATCTGTGTATATTCAGTGACTATCTGGATCCATTACTCATAAAAATGAATGTAATACATGATGATTTATGTATAAATTTAAGTATAAATAGTATAGTTCCTGTTAGCTCATCCGGCTAATGTGGACGCTGCCATCTTGTTTTGGTCTGTGGGCCAATCAGAAGCTGTATCAGCGATCAGCTGACATGTGAGGGCCAATGTGAAGCCAGTGCAGCCTAATACAGACATCACCGCCTGCTCTCAGCACAGAAATACGTAAGATAGAACTGATTTGAATGGATTGGTCCTATTCAGCTTATTCTAGTATCAGTAGATCTATGCTCTTTTTTGTTTACAAAACAGCTCCAATTAAAGTCTGGATTGTCCTTTAATTTAAATAAATTCTTTAAACACAATTCCTGAACTTCCAAAAGGACATATATCACAAGGTCTAGGGGTGTGATATGGACCTATTGGTCACTACAGACACTAATTTCTTACAGTAATGGCAAAACTAGCATTTTAGACAAAATTTGTACAGGTTTTTTTTTTATTTTTTTAAAGATTTATTTTTGGGTCCCTTGTGCCTTTAATGGAGAGATAAAACAGTGGATAGAGTCGGAAATCAG